AGTTTTCATTTGATACTCTGAACAGGTAAAGTTTAGAGTGAGGGCTGACATTTCACATTAAGCATTGTTGTTTAACAACTTTTCACAAGCCGACCCTGACTTTCAGGAAATGAAATGAAAATGGCAGAATTATCAATCTGTAGGTCCATAATCTAAAAATGGAACTGCTGCTCTTCTGAGGGATGCCATCTCAATGGTGACACTATCAAGTCCGGATTGCCTGACATACTGGTAACCAATTTTTCTGGGTCAGATCCCAACAGGTCTCTGGATTTAAGGGAGTCAAGTCTATGCTTAAGGTGGAGAGAGAGAAGAGGACATAAAAACAAATTTGAGTTTTTCCACTCCACAAGGTGTTTGTGCCAAGGTGGCTAATGTGTATGAACATCAAGGGATCCCTCCTCCCAGGAACCAAGAGGAAGTCTCTCAAAACTAGAGGGGAAAAGGTGTTTTTCCCCATGTCAATCCAGCTTTGGAGACGTTCTATTAATAATATATGTCCTTCCCCAAAAAACAACAATGAAGTGTTCTGTGTGCTAACAACATAGCTTAAAAAAAAAGTAAAACAAAATTCTGCATTTTTATAAAACTTGATAAAAAAATAGTATTTCAAACTGTACAGTCACCAGAAGTACACAGTTATAAAAAATGCACACACTTCACTTGGCATCTCCAGCACCTTCAGCTTTCTGTGCCTGGTCTGTTTTGGCATCTCCGTTTTCTGCAGGGTTATTCCCATCCTTGCCTCTGATGAATGTCTGCTTTCGATGTCGTTTGAGGTGAATCATCAAGGTGGGACCAAGACCGTTTGCACACCATTATTGTAAACAATCCACTTCTCATTACCAGTTATCAGTCGCTTCAAAAAAAGGATTGTCTTCCTCACATTTAATGAGCATATTGCAGATGTTTATACTCGCCGTCAAATGACCTTCTTTGAGCTCATGCAGGACCCAAATATCGAGTGTGCTTATGTATCCCAGCTTCTTCAGGTGGTTGTGAACTCTTGAATGATGAATGTTCAATACTCCTGCCATCTCTCGTGTCATGTAACGTGGGTTTGACTTGATCAATGCCTTTATTTTGTCGTCATCAACCTCGATGGGCCTCCCTGACCAAGGAGCATCATTGAGATAAAAATCACCAGGATAGAATTTCGTGAACCATCGTTGGCACTGATGTTCTTATAGAGCATTGTCACTGTAAACTTTATGCAAATTTTCACAAGCTTGATGCGCATTCTTCTCTTTATGGAAGTAAAACAGTAAAATATGGCAAAAATGCACAATTTGGTCTTCCATCTTTAACTGTTGTAAAATCTCCAAAACTCAACCAAATCGCTCAATTTTTTTTTAGAGTGAAGCTAGAGCTGTTAGCTCTCAAATAACATAGCAATAACATAGATGCGAATGACTCTAGTACTTCCAAAAATAAACTAGTGCCATCTGTCGCAAACATGCGTCATGACTTTTCCAACAACCCTACATATATGTGTGTGTGGTGTGTGTATATATATTATATATTAGCCATCCTAAGAGATGTGAGGTTATATTGAATCCAAACATATTTACTGAGCACTTCTGCATTGTGCCTCAACTGTATTTTTGTTGTACTTTCAGGAAGCTTAATATTGTTGAATATATTTGTCAAATTTTATTAAACCTTTTCTTTCATATTTTAAATTTCTAAGAGCACTTCTTTAATCCCCGGATGTTCCTTTTTATAGAATCTTATTGTTTCATGAATATGGTCTATATCTCTGAGAATATTCATTACATGTATATATGTTTTCCAAGCATCACTACCTTTACCAGTTTGGAAAACAAAAAACTTCATGTCTAGAAAAGAAACAAATGGCCAACAGCTAAGCACTCAAAAAGCAAGATATGAAACTTAATTCTCAGTTGCTCTGGATAAAAGTCACCAGTTACTATCAGAGCAATTCTAAAAAGTATGCACATATGAACTTTTTTGATAGCCAAGAGCTAAATGTTGAGGGTAATAGTATGAATCTAGAGATGCAAAGATATTAATAGCTACCTCTGTGATTCCGAAAGTACTCTATGGAATCTTAATTTCAATGCATGCCATGGACAAACAGCTAATTCTTGAAGGGCCTTTTGAAAGACATTTGGTCTTAAATATGAAAAATACATTTCATGTTACAGTTTATCAATTATGTAGTAAGCACTGTCCTTCCCCCACCAATGAAAGAAAATCTGCCCAACCACCTAAAAAGATTCTTAAACAGAAAAGAACAAGCACATCAACATCTCTTTGGGTCTACAAAATTATTTATTCAAATTCAAGATTTTGGAGGGTCTTTGAATCTCAGAGTTTTCTGTATATTCAAAGGAATTGGTTTGTAGAGAAAATTATCATTAGATAGGAAGGGTGATAGCTCAAAGGATCTATTTATTGCAGGCATTGGCAATGCTTCAGAGGTGGAATGATGAGTTGGCTCTAGGATTCACCCTTTGGAAATGTACAACACTAGAATATGAATTGATAGCATTCCATTATTTACAGAAAACTAAGATGGTAGGGAACAGCCAAAGTTCACATCAGAGCATGATAAATGTACAGCAGGGCCAGCCAATACTTCTACTCCTGTCTCACTCTACCCTTCTCACACCTCAAACATCTTACCCATTATAAGTTTAAATGGGTTAACATTCTTTTCTTTCAAAATCAAGTATTAGATGAATAAACTGAATACCACTCACATGAATTACCAGAAATAAATCAATTTATTTTACAGAAAAGAAAATGGAGAACCGGTAATATTAAGTGATTTAACCAATATACAATGTCAGTTGGTGGCAGATTGGGTTTCTCAATCACACCAAACTATTGCTAAATGAAAGATAGTTTTATTTTGAGGATAGAGAAACAGAAGACTAAGAGAAAGGGTTTTCAGGGAAAGGTGGGCCTGAAAGGAATCTACAGAATGTCAAAATGACATTCTTGGCTAAACTTTTTCTTAAGAACAAAATTCTTAGCTAAACTTTTGTTAGCTAAGCCAGTATGAAGGGACTGGCATATAGGGATCCTTGATAAGAGATAAAGAAACACAAGTGGGGAAGTGTCTAAAAGAAAAGGTTCTCACAGTCAAAAAAGTGAAAAACAACCCACAGAATGGGAGAAAATTTTTGCAAATCATATATGTAAAGGACTTTTATCTGGACTATATAAAGAACTCTTACAACTCAATAATGAAAAAAAACAAATAACTCAATTTAAAACTGGGCAAAGGATCTGAATAAACGTTTCTTCAAAGATAATATACAAATGGCCAATAAGCACACGAGATGGTACTCAATGTCATTACTCATTAGGGAAATGCAGATCTAAACCACAAGGAGATACCACTTCAATCCACTTGACTGGCTATCAAGTAGACAATAAAAAGCATTGGTGAGGTTGTGGAGAAATTAGAACCCTCAAGTGGGAATGTAAAATGGTGCAGCTGCTTTGGAAAACAGTCTGGCAGTTCCTCAAGAGGCTAAACATAGTGACCATATGACTTAGCAATTCCATTCCTAGGTATTTACCCAAGAGAAATGAAAACATAAGTCTATACAAAATTTTGTACATGAACTTTCATAGCAGAAATATTATTTATAGCTAAAAAATATAAACAACCCAAATGTCCACCAAAGAATGAAATAAAATATGGCATATTCATACAATGTAAGATCATTAGGCTATAAACAAGAGTGAAGTACAGATACAAGTGACAACACGGGATAAACCTTGAAAACAGAATGCTAAGTGGAGGAAGCCAATCACAAAAGGCCACATACTGTATTCCATTTATACAAATCTCCAACAAGCGAATCTATAAAGGCAAAAAATAGATTTGTGTTTGCCTATGGCTGGAGGGGACAGTGACAATGGGAGAGCAGGGGGGAGTGATTGTTAAAAGGTACAGGGCTTCTTTTCGGGGTGATGAAAATGTTCTAAAATTGACTGTACAGGTAGTAAGGGTTGCACAGTTCTGTGACTATACTCAAAACCCCTGAATTGTATACTTTTAATGGGTGAACTGTATGGAACATGAATTATATCTCAATAATATTCTTTTTTATTTTTAATTTTTCAATTACAGTTGACATTCAGTATTATCTTATATTAGTATTACAAAACAGAAAAGGTCCCAATCTGGTCTGGTATTTTCTGTGGCAGTTAATAACTAGTAGGCAGCTCTTTATAAGTAGGAAATTTAAGAGTAGCTGACATATGCCCCCCCAAATGTAAGTTACTTTGATGGCAATATCTAAACTTTGAATCTGGCTCTGGATGCTATAATAAAGCTTTGGGGATTTAGTATGGGTGGCAGAGGATACCGAGTAATATAAAGGATGGTCTTTGTTCTAACTGCAGGAATGAGAACCAAAAACAAACACCTAATATTATACAGCTGAACAAGAGAAAAATAATAATGGGGCAGATAATAAATTCAGAGGTCTGATAAATAATTTCTGACAGAGTAGACTTCATGGAAGTAAACGCTTATTCTTGACAGAATTGTGGTGAGAGTGGGCAGATCAGTGGATAAAGAGTAATTCATATTCACAGGGCCATGAGTTGACCAATTCGGGGCAAAAGTGGTTTAGCTGGAGATAAGGAGAGGAAAAGTACTGTATGTACTAAGAGGCATAGTATGTGAATTTTATTGGGCTAACAAGGCGGCACCCCTAAGTCAAGACTCAAAAGGACATTTTCCATTTCACAAGCGTCTCTTAGAAACAAAATACTGTAAGCCAACAGGCTAAAATAGTCTTTCCAAATAAAATTTAAATCACATCGGATTGATGCCTCTGGCGACTTGAGTTCATCTTACCACTTAGAATGTGCAATAATCGCACATAAAGGTTTTATAACGAAGAACGATAAATCTGTCGCAATTAAAACTGCAAGAGCAACGTGGCTCTGAATAGTCTTGGAAGTTAAAGCGACCAAGAAGTCCCCGGGTGAGTGTCGGGGATCAAACGTACCTCGAGCCACCCGAGGAAGAGACAATACGAAGGCATCCCGGGAACTGCATTTTTGCAGGTAAACCCGGGTTGGGCGCTCCGGCAAGGAGGCTGCCTGCGGTCCGGGCGTGGAGGCAGAGAAGCTGTGGCGGCCGGGCAACCAGCTCACCTCGATCGTGCCCAGGTACTCTCCGCGTTTCTATGGCTAACGTCAACTCCGGCTGGCGCCACCAGGCGCGGAATTAAGCGCGCGCTCGGGGGCGGGCCGGGCGCCCAGCTCGCCACGCCCCTCGGCCTCCGCTCACATCTGGGTGCTTCCCTTCCGGCCGGCCAGGCGGGGCGGATCGGGACAAGAGACGCGCTCCATTCTCTCCATCCCTGGACCAACACTTGCCTTGCGGGGAGCTGTGGGAGTCGCTCACGCGCCGGCCTCGCCTTGGGCCCAGACGCGGCAGCAGGCAAGAGATTCGCAGACCTAGTCCTGAACTTTCACCCGGGCCGCACCCTTACGCAAGAGCGTCGTTGCCTTGGTGATGTGACGTTCCTCGGCAGGGTAGTGCTCGCGTGCAGATAGACGCGCGGTCGCCATCTTGTGAGCGTCTGGTCCCTGGTGGCCTGACCGCGGGGAGGGCGGTGTTGTGCGACTCCAACCACCCAGGGTCCTGCGATCTTCATTAACCACACCCGCAGTGTAGCCGTTGCCACCCAACACACCGATAATAAATATCTTTAAGTGATACTTCATACGTCCTCTTCAGCTTGGGAGATTCGGAACTGCATTTACGTGCACGCTAAAGCCCCCTTATTGCATTTTTCCCCAATGGGTGGATTTGTGACTGCATATTTAAATACAAGGAACCAAAATGTCTATCACTGAAACATGTTACCAAGATGTCTGTTCATTAATAAAATACAGGGAAGTGCCCGTGTTCAACTGGAAAAAGAAAAGTGGCGGATTGTTATTAGCATTAATTTCAGATCTGGGAATCTTCACAGGGTGTCCACCCATAAAGTCCCCAGTTTTGCTAGTTTAAAAGTTAACCATATGCCCTGTTCCTACCACCTCCGTTTTCCGTGAAGTTTCATTTCTGCCCAGGTTCTGGACACCTTCCAGATTACCTGTCGGAGGGACACAGTGCATCCCCTGAGACCTTTAAATTGGTCTCAAATGATTTAGAGGTTCCTATAAGGGAACTTGGAAGCCAATTAGCATCAAGGTGCCGGCGTTTTCCCCTTGCAATTGATAACCTTAGCAATTCTGCATGCTTGGGACTTCTGAGTGGCTTGAGGACTGTCTCCTTTGGCTCTCCTTATCTTAAAATTATATGTGTGGTCTTTTTTTTTTTTTCCTGGCTTTACTGAAAATGATGGCTTAGTTCTTAAGCATTTAGGTTTTCAAGCCATAATGGGAAAAACGTTTGTGTTAATATTAAAAGAAACCCAAGGCTTATAAAAAAGAAGCTACAACTCTAGCCAGAGGAAAAATGTAATTTATTGAAAGCATGTGGAAGAAAACCCACGTGCAGTATCAGTGATGTACATATACTTGTCTTCAGGGGCACAATTTAGAGGTGGAACTTTTTTTTTTTCTTCCATGTGGGAGTTGAACTGGCAACCTTGCTGTTAAGAGCACACTCTATCCACTGAACCATCCAGGTGGCAGCTCAGCTCAAGGTGCCAAGTTCAGTCCCAGCTGCGGGTGGGCATAGCCCACCATGGAACAGGCAATCTTGTCATTAGGAGCATGTGCTCTCACAGCTGAGCCATCCTGCCACCCTGCTGGCAGCTCAGCGGCAGCTCAACTTGGGCCAGGAATCGAACTGGTGACCCTGTTGCTCAGAGCTCGTGCTCTTAAGCAAACTCTTAACCAACTGAACCATTCAGCCGGCCCTGAGATGGAACCTTTTATAATTCGATATGAAGGGAAAATGTGCTCTTGGTCCATCTGTAATGTTTTCTACTGTTGGGAAAGACATATTCCCAGTCATCATGGGTCAGAGTAACACATTAAGCATCTCTGAAAAATCAGCTACTTCTAGGAAGTCAGTGAGAGTAGGATGGTTAAGAGCAGAGGCTTTGGAGTCAGGAAGCCTGAGTTGGAATCCTGATACCACAGCTCACTACTTGTGTAATCTTTCAGTTACCTAATCTCTCTGGAGCTCACTTTCCATATCTTGTAAAAAAGGGCTAATAATGGAAACAGAACTTAACCCAGAGGGAGTTGTGTAGATTGGATTAAATCAAATAACTAAGCGGCTTAGTAAGGGGACTAACTGGCACAGCTTATGTGCTTAGTGAGTATGAGATCCTTATGTATTAATAGAGAGGCTGTGTTTATAATGCCTGTTTTTCATCACCCTGAATTACACATGACCCAAACAGAATGAATATTTTTGTTGTTCAAATACCTGCTGTAGATATTTGGTAGTTAAATTTTTCTTTTTTCCCAATATGTTTGTACTTTGCACTGTCTTAGAATAAAATTAGTAATGCTTATGGTACAAGGCCTTTGCTTACTTTCTGTATAAGTATTCATTCAACATTTACTGAAATATTGTGGATGCTATTTGCCAGGCACCACATTATTTGCTACAGAGACAAAGTCAAATAAAACATGATTCCTATCTTCAAGGAATTTACCAAAATAGCACTTGGGAGACCAACAAGGACATCAGTAATCAGAGTGTGTGATAAACAGATACACACTGTAGAAGCACAGAAGTGGGACATAGAAATCATTCTTGGAAAATTCAGATGGCTGTAATCGAGTTTTAAAAGACAAGTAGAGGTTAGCTGGATGAAGATGTAGGAGAGAAGGTGTTCCAGGTAGGGGTACATTCATACATTCAACAAATATTTAGGGCATTTATAGAATCAGATATGTATAGACCTTATTCAATCTTAACCTTATGAGGTAGGTTGTTGTTATTCTCATTTCAAATATGAGGAATCTGAGCTTTAGAAAAGTAAAATGATAAGATCTGGAATTGAGTATATCTGTATGTCTCCAAGATCCATATTTTTTTGTTACCCTGCTGATTATCATAAAATGAAACTACCCCAAATTTGGAGCTGCTTCTTTAGTCAGAGAAAATGTTTATCCAGGTATTATTGGCATACATGTTTTTGTGTAATGGTAATGCCTGTTTTCAGTTCATACCCAAGTTACTCCTCTCACCAAAACGTAAAAAAACAACCAGCACCATGAAATCCTCACTCTGCTTCATTGCCCATAGACTGTTTACCAGAAAGCTCTGAGGATAACCATGCGAAGCTGCAGCACAAAATAGGATGAGTTAAAAAGGGGATGAAATGGCCTCAGGGAATTAGGAAGCTGAATTTCCAGGACAAGGCAGTAGAATTGCTAAAATTTGGTAAAGGGCTGGATTGGGGTGGGAGTGGGATGTGGTGGTAAGGAGACCAAAGATAAAAGATGAGCCTAATCTTCAAGCTGGGTAACCACAAAGTTTGAGGTACCCTAAAGTAAATAAGCACAGGAGGAAGACTAGGTTTGGAAAGAAAGAAACTCTACCTTGAGACATTATGTGTTTGAGGGACTTGTGAGTTATGTCCAGTTAGAAATAAAGAATTGGACCTTGGGGGAGAGGTCAGGACATAGACATTTGGGAGTATTTTACATTAAAAAAAGTTGAAATCATGAGATTGGAAGAGAATGCCAAGGTGTGGATATTAGTGGGCATGAAGAAAATCATCAAGAGAGAATAAAGGCATTGTAAAATAAAATAATTTCTTACATGGCTTGTTGAAATTCAGCTCATTGCTTTATACCACAGATCATGACATGCATATTAATGAATGGGCATGTCGTGGGTAGAAATTTTAGTATGTCCCAACATGTTCATAGGTATGTGGGTTGGGTGACATTGAATTAGGAGGGTATGAAAGACCTTATATGAAACGGAATGACCACTTGTTAATTGCTAAGTTTCATACTGAAACTTCCTTTAATATAAAAAAAAATGCAGACCAGGTAAACATTCATACATAGAACCATCAAATAATGTATAATGTAATCATAGCTTTGCCATTAATTTGTATTAAGCTTTGTTGTAAGATACAATATATTATCAATTACAATTCTGAAAAATTTACAGTAATTCCCGATGAGTGTAGGGTAAAAGGATAGAATTTCACAGATTTTGGTTTTGATTTAAGAATTTTGAAATTTCTTGTGTAGCTCTTAAAAATTTTCATTATTATTTCACATCAATAACTTCATAGATTGGATTTTTAACTTTAGGAGTGTTTCAAGTAATATTATTTTAGCAAGTTATCACCACTGGAAACATTTTTTTTACTGAAAAATAGTTTTTCATTAAAGTTTAGTTGGCATACAATATTATTAGTTTCAGGTGTACAACAACATAGTGATTTGACATTTATATACCTTATGATGTGATCACCATAAATCTAGTTACCATTTGTCACTGATAGAAACTTGTTTCAGATAGTTGTTTAAAAAGAGAACACACTCATCTCTAATATGGGATTAATAGTGGTAGGTCCCCTTGAGGGTGAAACCAGCTAATATTTGTACTTAGAACAGGGCTAGAACATAGTAAGCAGTACAAAAGTGTTTGTTAAATAAAGTGAATATTTTGGTAAAAAAAAAAGAACACAGAATTAGACTAAAAATGACTAAATTGGAGTATTTAAAAGGCTAGAATTTCATTTTTTAAAAATTATGTTAAATTTTGTAAAAGTTTGTGAATATAACTTCAATGAAAGATCAAATTTTAAGAGTAACCAAACTCTATGTAAATATCCACAGGAATATTTACAGTTTGACTCTTTATAAAAATTTTTACACATAGATCTGAATTAATTACAATGATTCCCTTTATTTTGGCACACATAATTAAGAGTTGACTATGCAGATTTCATAGTCTTTATCTTTAGTGGCCTATACTGATTTTGGAACATCAATTAACTTCTTCTATTGACAGTATTATCAAGGACATATCTTCTGATTAGTAATATTAATTTATAAAGCTATAGTTGAAGTTATTAATCTCAAATAGGTGTCCTTTTCCTGGCATTTGCCAGCTGTTTTCTTTGTTTATAAATGTACCCACTGTTTAGAATGTGTGAACATTATCTTCACTTTCCTATAGATGAATATATAAGGAAATTAATGAACAAGTTGCCTGCTAAAGTTTCTGTTTGAAGTTGTAATTAAGAATGTGGGGGTAGGGAGAGAGTTAGGTTTTGCCTAAGGTAGAGGAAAGCTTATACACCCTCTTACAATCTTTGCAGGTTCATCAATATTGTTACTGTTGAGTGGAAAAGTCCACACAGGTTAGAATTATTTCCTATAGCCTACATTGTGTTGCCCTCTTCCGGTTAATAGATTTAAAAATATGAAAACTAGAGGTTACTCACAGAGAAATATTTAGGGAAAATGAAACAACATTTGGTTAAAAAAATTTATACATAAAATATAAATAACAACAATATCAACAGTAACGATTGTTGGTGGAATGGTATATTGGAGGTACATTTTGAAACTTCATTTGGCTCTAACAAAATTTAAAATGCTGTTCCCTTTCACAAAAACTTCATCTCTAGTAGATTTTTGTTTTTATAATAGCAGCTTTATCCAGAAAATAATTTAGAAAATAGAGTTGCTAGTTTCTATGAATAAATGATTATACATTTTAATACTTTTGTAGGGAGAGAAACGCTATATTATTTTTTAATGTTATATTAAAGTTGAAAATTATAATAAGTTTTTGATATGCCGCGAAATTTTGAGCTTTGGTAATCAGAGACAGCTTAGAACCTGGACCACCTTCTTAGTGCTTCATCGATAGGAATCCTTAAAGTTAGTTCATTTTTAAATTAGAGCAGTTACTAAATTTATGTACATTCTAAAGATTATTAAGATTTCTAATGTAGCATATTAAATCCTAGTTTTTAGTATAGTATGTAAAATATACATGCATTAGTGTATTTATACAGATATGTATACATGTAAAATACTTGTACATTTAGAAAGTATGTGTTATATATAATACAGAAAATAAAATACATGGCAGCCCTATTTTATTGAACCAGCAATGACTAAGTATTAATGAAAGAAAGTTTCACATGTAGCTTATCTTTAGCAACATAGTTCAATAATTTTTAATAAAATTTATGCTAGTAATTAAAAATTTTTTGTACCAGAAATGTGTTATAAGTTCTTAGTTTAAATGAAAACCAGTGTACAGAGATTAATATTAGCA